GAGGCGCATGAATTATTCTTTCATTGTCTTGGTCTTAGAATAGTTTTCTCTTGTGCCCAGCATCCTCTCCTAGAGACAATCTTTTTAGGTTTTACAGTGTCATGCCTCTGGTTCCCCATTACAGGATGAAGACCTTGCTCTTATTTTCTTAAGGAAAATTCTAATTATAGGATCATCTCCAGATCCTGAAATACAACATCTTTTTCTGGCAACACAGGTCTGGGATGTTGGTTTTCAGAATGTTTCACCCCAGTCTTCCTTCTCTTATATTGTTAATATAGACTCACTCCCCTCAAAAGCCCCATTTCAATCAAAGACCACCTTCCTCCTCCAGAGAAGCAAACATATTGATGGTTGCTGATAATATATGCCCTTGTTTGTGGACCCTCCTCTCTTTGTATCTACATTAAATCAAGTGCCTTACATATAGTAGGTACTCAGTTACTCTTTATCCAATAAAGTTATGAATGATAAATCTCAAGAAAAAAACTTTTGTTTACTAACTTTTATTATGTTTACTTAATTAATTGAAATGGTTAATGCATGCACATAGTACAAAAATTTCCATTGCTTGACAAAACAGGCTATATATATATATATATATATATATATATATATATTTCAAGAGATAATGTATGTATATATTACTTTTAATCTCAAACTATATTGTGAATTGTTTTTAATAATAATAGTAATTGAATATTGGTAAAGAGACATATGCTTTTAAAACAGCTTTTGTATGTATTATCTCACTTGATATAACAATTTCCTTTATACAATGAGGTATAAAGGATAGAGCCCATTTTGAAGATAAGGACATAGAAGCTAAAATATAGTCTCAAAGGATTTCAGAGTAAAAAAAATGAAAACAAAAATCACTTGGTTAAATATATCAATCCAGAGTTATTTCTCCACCACCTTTTATTTTCCTAATAAAGTTATCCTGTTTATCATAGAATCACCTAGCCAATCCTCCATTGCCTCTTCAGAACCAAAACCTAATTTTAAAACATATCTCCTCAGATACCTTCCTGTTTCTTCTGCTGTGTTAAATTAATGTCCATATCTAATATCACTGTTCCTTGATGATAGCGTTCTGGAGCAGTACCATTGCAAGGCTTGCTTTGGTTGAAATGAAGTAGTCAGGTGCTCCTAGAGTGTCACCATCTCCATCCTCAGCTGTGTCCTTCAGCCAATGAAAAGACCTCTGTCTTGAGTCCCACTCAGGCCCACTCCAAATTTCTCTTAACATATCCCAAACTTTCACCGTACAAACTTCCTAACCCACCTCCTTATCCTCATTCTTTGCAAACAAACCAGCTTCTTTATTAATGGAAAGAAGTACCTCGATTCCTTCCTGCCCTGATGCTTTTTTCCTTTTCAAGTCTATCTGTATCTCCTGTGTCGGGTTTTTTTTTTTTTTTTTTTTTTTTTTGCCTCCCTGTGTATTGGATTCCATTTTTTATACCTTTAGGGACCTCAGGTCCTATTTCTCTTTTTTCTAACTGTTCTTTCTCTTCACCTGGCACATTCCTTCAGTGTATGTGGGTGCTTAGGTCTCTTCTGCCTTCCATCTGCTTCCCTTCACTGTACATCACCTTGAGCTACCATGACAAGCTGTGAAAGAATAATCTACATATGTGCCCTCACTTCCTTGCCATCACATTTACTCCTGGTTTTCCTTCTGACTCTGAGCAGCCCTTTTCAGGTTCATTTGCAGAAGCTTTTTCCAGCTTCTTGCCATATGTTCCAGTGAATTACATTCAGTTTTCCTAAACCTTCATGCCTTTGCAGTGTTCCTGTCTCTGCCTGGAATGTCTTTCTCCATAATTCCTTCCCATCTTTCATCTCCTATACTTTTCTTCAAGTTGGGATCAGCTGTCATACTGTCTAGGAAGCCTTTCACATAAGCCAACAGGATGATTTTGGCCCCTTTTCATTTTCTGGTGTCAACCTCTGCTTCCTTTTGCTCTTCTAAGTGCTTTATATGTTATGTTCCCTTTAAATTTCCAGAACAACCGTTTGCAAAAAGTACTATCACTATCCCCATTTTGCAGATGGGGATACTGAGAACCAAAGACAAGTAATTTGCTCAAAGTTAGAGAACTTTTAAGTGGAGATTCAAGTTTGAATCTAGGCCATTTGACTCTAGGGCCGAATCTAACCCCCCATGCTCTACTCCTAGCCTTGGAGCTTGTTGGATAAATAAATAAGTGGTAGTGTGTATTCTTTTTTTCCTTAAAAGACTAGTTAGAATTGAGACAGGTTTAAACTTCATAGTATAGATTTTCAAGACTGCCAAGATAGCAGAAACCAAGACCATGTCATTCTCAGAGAAGAGGAGAGGTAAGTGTGCAGATAACAATAACAACAAACTTCAGAACTTAGAAAGTTTTTTGATGTCCATCATCTTATTTCATACACCACGAAATACATTATGATCCCATTTTACAGATAAGAAAGCTAAGGCTGTTAGAGCCAGCACCAACATCCCTGGCATCATGGTTCATTTCTTCTGTAGTTTTCCCTCTCAGATCTGAACTGATATGGCTGAATAAATTGGCAAAATGAAAGGTTCTTTAGGGAAAAGAAAAAAAAAGGGGAAATATTTTCACGTTATTATTAAGTACTTACATAGATTTATTATAGATACAGGATCAATTTCCAGAACAAAAGGACCTCACCCAAGGATACCCTAATCTTTCAGGAGCTCTGCTCCAAGTGCCTGACCTAGTGAACACATGTCTAAAACCTGTTCTTGGTATTTCCAAAGCAGTCAACCTCTATATCTGTTTCTAATGCATCCAAGAAATGTTTTGTATGGTTCCATTCCGTGCTTCCTTCTCCAATATATTGCCTATTCACAAGATCTAAAGGGAGTCAGAATCAACTGGAAGGCAACAGGTTTTATCGTAAAATGTCTTAGCTAAATTAAAAGAATGTTAGATTTTGTATCTACATTTTGAATTGTTCAAATCATTGCTGCCCAGATATTTGAGAGATGCCTGGAGGAATATATAGAAGGCACAGTAGTGATAAACTGTAGTTTATATATATATATATATATATATATATATGAGATTTAACATCCAATAAATACTTAAATTTAAAAACTGTATGTTTTGTTTGACCTAATAAATTGAAGGTAAAGCAGTGTATTTTGGGACTTTAAGAGAAGTCAGACAGGGTTTGACTTTTAAGCAGAGCTGGGTAGGCCAACTAAGTATGTGCTGAAGTTACCAATGAAACCTAGCCAAGTGCACTGCCCTGGAGTGGATTCCAATTCATAGTGACTCCTATTGCGTTTCCGAGGCCATTAATTCTTTACTGAAGTAGCCCCATCATCCTTCCACGGAGTGGCTGGTGGGTTTGAACCACCAACCTTCTGGTTAGCAGTCAAATGCTTTAGGCACTGCTCCACCAGAGGTGTTAATACAATTTTTAAATGTAATACATACTTTTAAAAGCATGAAAGTAATAATCATAGGAAAAAAATAAAACTATTGTTTCCTTTCACTTATATTCTTTAGTTCTGTTTAACTTTTAATTAATGATGGGGGTGATGGAAGGTGCACCATCACCTTTTCTGTGATTAAGATCTTGTTGGCCTTCCTTTTCTTTTATATGCTATTGATAGGTCTATCCAAACATTTTCTTTTATGCCTCACAAGATTGTCAGCAAATCCTCCAAATGTACTATTTGATAGCTAACAGATACTGCGTGCTTGGCGTGTGTAGCACTATTCTAAATGCTGTATGTGCATCAGTAAATTTAATACTTAAAAAAAACCTGTGAAGTAGGGCCCACTCTTAACTTCCCTTTTTATAGCTAAGGAAAATGGCGTGGTATTTCCAGTGGGAAGGAGTTCCAGGAGTGGCCCCAGGAAGTGTAGGCGCCTGAGTGCATACTATGATGCGCTGCTCAACCCCGTCTCTAGAGAGCTAAGCACTTTCTCTAGTGGAGAAAGAATTGCTTATTAAAAACGGGGTCTGTCACCTCAATGACGCCCTCACCACTTTCCTATCTACTTATAGACCGACTTCTCTTCCACCCCTGTGAAATAGATCTCAGCTTCCGGTGCCAACCTTGATTGATATCCTGTTGATATTCTGTTTTATATCAGCCACCAGTACGGGGCGACCGTTAGACTCTTTAAAAGGAACCTTTGAAGTAAGCTTTCTAGAACAGTAGACTCGGAACGCTTAACCCAAGGACTAAATGGGGGAGAGGGAAGTGTGTGATCTGATGACCTGAAAGGAGGGTCGTCACCTCATAGTCACACCAGGACTACCGCTCCTCGGTGGGGCCCTTATTAAGAAGAGAGCATATGGCTTTGCCCGACTCATCTGAGTATAAAGAGGAAACAGTACTCTGCCTATGACATCAAGCTCCCGGGTTCGAACTTGACAGAAATCTCTGCGCAATTGTCTGTTACCAGGAGAGCGGCTTAGAGGGGAAGAAGGAAACTGGGGAGAAATTTGGTTTAGCTGTAGTAGAGGGAACTCGCTCAGAGACACGCTTGAGCTTCCGTTGTATCGGGGGAGGGGAGGCAGCACGGTGAGGGTGGGGCGGCAGGAGGACCAGGGGGCGAGTGAGGGCATGAGGAGGGTCCCAGGGCTCCCAGCTCCCGCCGCGTCCTGGTGCTCCGGGAGTGGACCGCTTCCGGCCGGGGCTCCCTCTCCGGGGGCCCAGGGCGGTGCAGCAGTTGGCCGCGTGGGGCCAACTCAGGGGGCCTCTTTGCAGCGCTTCAACCAGCGCTTCCCCCGAGGACACGTGAACGGTGCCCTTCGAGTGGAAAGACGCCGCGGCTCAACGGGAGGGGTGGAGAGGCCGATTCAGGGGGCAGCTGTGCGGAGCCTCGGGCGGTCAGTTCCGCCGCCCCCGAGGAGGAAAGCAAGGGGCGGGACGGTCACGAGAGGGAGGGCTGGGCCACTGGCGCTAGGCGGCAGCGGGAGGAAGGTGGACTCGAGGACGAGGCAGCGCAGCGACCGGGAGCAGCATGGAGCCCACTGCAGACAATCTGGCCACCACCGCCGCCCGGGGTAGGGCCGAGGAGGTGCGGGCGCTGCTCCAGGCCGGGGCGCAGCCAAACGCGCTGAATCGCTACGGGCGCAGCCCCATCCAGGTGGGTAGCAGGTTGGAGGCGGGAGGAGGGGATGGCAGGCTCCTTTGAGGAAGAGGTTTGCTGGAGAATCAGAGCCAGGTGGCCTTCAGATTCTTGGGGAAGGGGGAGGCTTCCTGTGGTGTTTTCCTGTGGAATTCAGGGTCCGAGAACTCCTCGGCAGGGCCCTGGGGCCGCAGGAAGCCCCGGGGGGAAACAGGGGGCACTCGAGGTGCAGATCCTCTGACGTGGTGTGAAGATCCGGAGAGGGGAGCTTCGGCGTGCTGGGGACCGAGGTTTAGTCTTTATCGGATATACAATCTACGAATGTTGAGATAAAACGCGAAATTTTAAAGAAATGGAAGGTGCTAGGACTAGGTAGTCGCAAACGCACAGATCCCTCCCTGAAGAGGGGTTACTGGAAGATTAGTTAATCTTCATTACCAGAGGGACTTGGGTGAAAATCTACTGCCGATATGTTGGAATAAATATCAGCTGAAATAATTCAGAAACAACTACATATAGTGTTTATTTTTAATTTACATGAGTAGGGAAATTGTAGACATGTGTTAAAGAATTTAGAACATAAAAACCTATATGGGGAAAAAAAAAAAAAACCTTCGGTGTGATCCCGCCTGAGACAATGTTTCCAATTTAGGCTGGGGGGGGGGGGCACTGTGATCTCTCCGGAGACAATGTTACCAATTTAGTTACCATCTTGAGAGTATTTCCAATTATTTTTGCTATTATAGCTATCTTGATATAGATTAGTTGGGATAGAGTTTTCAACTGAAAAGTTTCATTTCTCTCCTCCCCTTCGACTGTGTGGGTGGCTTGGCGGGAGGGGTAGCAGGGAGAGCTGTGTGTATTTTGCTTTCACTAACTTCCTAAATCTCAGATTAAAAACGAATTCTTCCTGGCAGTCAACTAGCCTAATTTTATTTCCAGTGGTGACAATGAGTTCTGGTTATGAAAAATAAAATTTTTGTAAAACAAATGTACACTGCAAAAACAAAAACTCCCTAACACAAAGTAATATAACTCGATCTCACACTTAACAAATGAATCTTCCTTTCTTGAATCTATACTACAAAAATATATGTTACACACTTTAAAGTACAGGTGTAAAAATAAAATTAAAATGCCTTAAAACTTGAGATTTGTGGGACCTGAAGTGGGGAGAGATCTTGAAGCTAGAGAGGCTGAGTGGTTGTAAAAGAAAAGTGCGAGAGTCTCTTAAAAATAATATCAGATTCATAATTTACCATCCTCAAAATTCTTCCAGCAACCTGGAGGTTCCGAGTTTGGCCTTGGAGTCCTGAAATATGTTACAAGAGACTTCATTTGTGTAGATACAAAAAAGGAAAAAGAAAGTTAACAATTACTCTTGACAAAGTTAGATAATTACTCTTGATAATTACTTCTATCCTTAGGAGGGTAAGAACATGGGGGCAAAATGACTTGGTTTAGAACCACAACCACATTTGTTTTTAATACAGGATACTTATAAAAATTCTTTTAAAACAGCTAGAGTCCAATTAGGGAGCTCTGGTGGCCTAGTGCCTACGGCATTTGACTGCTAACCAGAAGGCTGGTGGTTCAAACTCACCAGCCACTCCTCGGAAAGAAGACTGGGCAATCTCCTTCCCTAATGAGTAGTGATACGGCCTCCCTCCCTCGGAAACACAAGGTGAAATCTCTATGAGTCCTATATGACTCCACCACCGCAGTGCATTGCGCTTGTTGCGTTAGAATCCAATTAATTTCTTTATCAATGAATTTTAAACACCCTACAAATACTAGTTTTATTTATTTATTTTTGTTAATTTTGGATTGCTAGCTCTGGTGCAGTCCTAAGGCATTTGCCTGCTAACCAGAAAGTTGGCAGGTCAAACCCACCAGCTGCTCCGTGGAAGGAAGATGGGACAATCTACTTCCATAAAGATTTACTGCCTCGGAAACCCAATGGGGGTCGCTATGAGTCAGAATCAACCCGATGGCAATGAGTTTGGTGTGGATTTGGTTTTATGATTTAAATGCCGGGTTGCTTGAAAGATTAGATAGGACTGTTAGGGTACAGTTAATTGATGTTAATGGTGGAGGAACAACCCAAAAAGGAAGAAAGGAGGGTGAGAATGGTTGTACAACTGGAAGAGTGTAACCTGCGCCACTGAATGGTACATGTAGACACTGTTGAACTGGTGTATGTTTTGCTGTACATATTCTCAACAACAACAAAATAAATAATTGTAAAAAAATGGCAAGGACAAAAAAATTGTATACCATGGAAAATTAGAATTAACTCAAGAATTTAACATTGGCTTAACCTAGAAAATCTATTTAGGGTTTCATCACATTAATATATCAAAGGAAAAAATTATCTCAATAAACACATGACAAACATTTTATACAAATAAATACATTGCTATATGACAGAAATAGCTTTATAAATCAGTGAGGAAAAAGTGTGCTATTCAATGAACCAAAAAACAAATTGAACCCACGGCCATTGACTCATAGCTACCCTCATTGGGTTTCCTAGGCTGTAAATCTTTAGGGAATTGGGTCGCCCCATCTTCCTTCCATGGAGCGGCTGGTAGATTTGAAGAGCTGCCCTGCTGGTTGTAAGTCAAGTGCCTTATCCACTATACCAAAAAAAATAACCCTTCATATTGAAAAAAGGAAAATTGAATTTCCAGTTCACATCATATACAAAAGTAAATTCCAGGTGGATTAAAGACTTACTTATGTAAAGCAAGACTTTAAATTTTTGAAATACAGGAAAATGTTGTATAATCTCATAATAGGGAAGAATTTCCTTAAAAGTTAAAAAAAAACCTTAAAGTTAATGATTTATTAATTTGATTATATGGAAAAAACCTTTTATAGGATAAACAACACATAAAATTATGAATGTAAGGCATTACTGCATATATAGCTCATAAAAAATGGTATGGCAGAAGAAAGGGAAATTTATATAAATTAATACATAAAATCCAATTGATAAATGCATCAGTTATGAACAATTTACAGAAGAAATCTGAATACATAATAGGTCATCAGGATATAGCATTAAATCACACTCATCACACTGAAAAATAAAATATTGGTAGTTCCAAGTGATAATGTGGTATAATCAGAAAATTTAATGAACTATTGATGAGGTAGTAATTATTACAGTCTCTTTATTAGCTATCAGTCAATAACTAGTTAAGCTAAAAATATGCATATCCCATGAGGTAGCTATTTCAATTCTAGTTATATTCCTTAAAAGGAACTATTGCACAAGAGTACCAAGAGAATTTATCAGGGTGCTCATTGGAAGATCATTTATAGTTGCTAAAAATTTAGATATCAACTAAATGACTTTCTGTAAAGGAATGTATAAATAAGTTGTGATATAATAATATTATTGGAATCCTAATGCAGCGGGCAACATGAATGAGCTAGATTTACATGAATCAACATACAATAATCTGAAAACATAACATTTACTTAAGTGAAGAATGTTACAAAATATTCTTAAAATGTGATACCAATTGTGTATGTTTTAAATCCACAATGCTATAGTATCTATTGCTTGGAAACACAATATGGTAAAAGTATAAAAACATAGATGCACACACTACAACTTCAGGAGAGTAGTTGCTTCTGGGAACTGGGAACATTGATTGCTTTTATCTTTGATTTTTATTCCTTTTTTATCCAGTTTAAACCACTAAAGTAAAATAACATGTTGATATTTTAAAAAGTAAATAGTGCACATATGCGTAGTACAGTATTTACTATCTTTTCTGTATCTTTGCTATTTCAGATATAAAATACAGGGCATTACAATAAATGTCCAGTTAGTAGCTGGCTCCAAGGTGGCACTGAGGATTAAGCAGATAGCTCTGCCTACCTGTATGTCCTGGGAATCTTTCAGAATCAGCACTCTTAATACTGTGATATGAAGCATGAGAAAGAGGCACCTGAGAGAGAGATGAGGGAATGGTATGTGGGAGCCATAAGAAGGCATTTTTTAAAAAGTGAGTCACCCTGAGTAGCTAACTATAGAGCAGAAGGGAGTACAGGAGAGATGTTGGAAGATGAGACTATAGAGGAAGATTAGGTCTGATGTTGGTTATAGGTCAAGATTTGACATTTTAGAAAGGTGAACCACTCCCAGAGAGCTCTTGCTTCTAACTAGATGACCATTTTCCTCTTCCAACACAATCAGCTCTTTTATGTTTCCCTCCTCAATACACTCTTCCAATAGTTGCAAATTAACATCTACTGTAGTCACAGAATTGCATTTTTGGGAAGCCCTTAGCAGTCATCTACTGGTCTGATAGACTCATTTTATTGACCAAAGAATGTATTTATCATTTTGAGCATAAACCATTCTGAAAGTTTTTATCTTTGTAATCTAGGTTCCCTCAACCGGCTTTCTGCGAGAACTAATTCCTAGGAAAAAATGTTATGAAGGAATCTGTAAAGTTATTTACTGATAGAAATTTTTATGAAAGTAATTTAGTGATATATATATATATATATATATATACACACATATATATATATACACATACATATATATATATATACAGATGCTTAATGAATTATTTTTTATTGATTTTTAATTGTGAAAATTATTAATAAAAATAAATGCTTGGCTACTTTTCAGCATTTTTCATTAGGTAAAATATAAGAAAAAACATTCAAGACCAGTGTTTTTTAGTAATCCAGTTTATTAAGGTAAATTATCCTCATAGTGTTTTCTTTTTAGAAAAATAATATTTTGTAGTGTTTTAGGTGAACATTTACACAGCAAATTAGGTTCCCCTTTAACAATTTTTATACATATCGTTCCATGACATTGGTTACAGTTTTCACAGTGTGTCAGCATTCTTACTATTTCTGTTCTGTTTCCATTGATCTAGCGTCCCTTCCCTTCTTTGCCTTCTTATCTTTGCTTTTGGGTAAATATTGACTATTTGGTCTCATATAGTTGATTATTTAAGGGAGTATATAACTCATGGGTGATATTGTTTATTTTATAGGCCAATCTATTATTTGGCTGAAAAGCGACCTACTGAAATAGCTCCAATTCCAAGTTTAAAAGATATCTTAGTGCAATAGTCTTGGCAGTTCCTCTGTCTCTGTTAGCCCAAGAGGACTGGTTATTTTTGGAATTTTAATTTTGTTCTACATTTTTCTCCCATTCTATCCAGGACCTTCTATTGTGTCCCTGGTCTTAGCAGGTGCTAGTGGTAGCTAGACACCACCTAGTTCTTCTGATCGCAGCTTAGAAGAGGCTGTGAGTCATGCAGTCTATTAGTCCCATGGACTAGTTTCTTCTTTGAGCCTTTTATTTCCTTCATTCTCTTTTTGTTTCATATGAGTAGAGACCAATAGTTGTATCTTAGATCAAGACTGGTTTTATGACCAAAGTGAATGACTTGGTTGGATCAACAAAAACTGTGCTGCAATATTTTATTTTCTTTTTATAGCTGTAATTTGGCTCACATGTATTTTTCTTTGTCCTTTTAAAAACTAACTTAATTAGTTTCCCCACTTTTGCAGCAGGATTCAGCAACCATAGTATATAACTTATTATTTTTCCTTACTTTGGATAAATAAAGTAATTTGTATTTAATTAATCCAGAATGTAACTAAGTTATTCCTCTTTATGCAGTCACTATTCCCAAGCAAATCCTCTACAACTACCCATCATGTATCACCCATATTCTAAGGTTTCTGTGATTGTGGCAGCCATTTAAAAATTCTTCTTTGGAAATTTTTTTATTTCAAAGATGATTTAAGAAAAAAAAAAAAAACTGCCATCAAGTAGATCCTGACTCATAGCAAGCCCCCTTGGGTTTCTGAGGTAGTAAATCTTTACAGAAGTATATTGGCCAGTCTTGCTTCCACAGAGTGGCTGGTGGGTTTGAGCCACCAACCTTCTGGTTATCCATCAGATGTCTTAGGCACTGTGTTACCAAAGCTCCTGGAGCATCCCCATAAAAGAGTGTATTAGTTTCTTTTTGCTGCTGTAACAAATTACCAAAAGTTTGCTTAAACCTGCAGAAGTTTATTATGTTACAATTCTGGAGATTAGAAGTCTAAAATGGGTTCACAGAGCTATGTTTCTTTTGAGAGATCTAGGGGAGAATCCATCTCCTTTCCTTTTCCAGATTCTAGAATCCACCTGTATTCCTTGGCTTGTAGACCTTTCCACTGTCTTCAAAGTCACCTGTGTAACGTTTTCTCTCCACTCTGTCCTCTGCCTCCCTCCCTGGATACATCTCTATGACTGTGACCCTCTTATAAGGACACATATAATTATGTTGGGCCCACCTAATTAACCAAGATAATCTTCCCATTTCAAGATCCTTTACTTAATCACTTCTGCAAAATTCTTTCTGGCATGTAATGTATGCACAGGTTTTGAGGGAGTAGGACACAAACATCTGCAGGGAGATATTATTCCACCTACCACGGGAAGGAATTCTAAGGCTGGTTAGACAAACCCTCCCATTTTATACTTAAAGAAATTAAAATTCACAGTAGTTTAATATGTATGCAAAAAAAGTTTAATTTTAAAAAATATATATATATTGACAATTGCCACATTCTGGGTTTGGGAATGCAGCAGTGAATGAAACAAGATCTCTGTGGTTTAGATCATTTCATCTCAAAATGAGAAAAGAAAAAAGGCGAATGGTTAGGCAGTGGAAAAAGCCAGCTTGCCCCTCACCATTTTGTTGTTGTCTCTGTCTCTGGCATTGTCCTCCTTGGGCCTGGGGCGCCGCCAAAGTTTGGAGAATACACTGTAACTCAATGTGTACTGAGAGGCACACTGTGTTGAATTGGGGAAGGGGGAGGCATCTATATGGGGCAATTTACTACCGTAAAAATTTACAGCCTCCAAAACGCAATGGGCGTAGCTATGAGTCTGAATCAATTCCATGGCAATGAGTTTGGTGGCTTTTTTGGGGGGTGGAGTGGGGGTGGGGAAACTAGAGACCTGTAATTTCTACTCGCCGCTGCATTGGATGGCTGCGATGTCTATCTCGGGCTTCAGAAATAAGCATTTCTTTACATGAATGCTGCCCTTGCCTGTTGCCTTGACCGCTCTCTTCCCCCCCCCCCCCGCAGGTCATGATGATGGGCAGCCCCCGTGTGGCCCAGCTGCTGCTGCTCCACGGCGCCGAGCCCAACCGAGCAGACCCCACCACCCTCACCCGACCGGTGCACGACGCCGCCCGGGAGGGCTTCCTGGACACGCTGGTGGTGCTGCATCGCGGCGGGGCGCGGCTAGATGTGCGCGACGCCTGGGGCCGCCTGCCCGTGGACCTGGCTGAGGAACGCGGTCACCATGACGTCGCCTGGTACCTTCGTGTGGCCTCCGGAGACACCGAAGGAGGCAGCGGCACCTATGCAGATGCCGCAGAGGGTCCAGCAGGTAAGGGCTGCCCATGATCTAAGAATTTTAATCCTGAGAGCTTCTAGAACGCAGCGCAGAAGAAAAATTGGGGCCAGGAAGGGCAGGGGCTTGGATTTCACCTTAGCTCATACACAGGCAATCGGTGGTAGAGCCCAGGTGTCTGAATCAGGCAGCTTAGTTAGAGCTACTAATAGGAAATAGCCCTAAATGAATGTCCCAATACAAAATCTTAGTCCGCTGCCATGAGCATGCGTGTGCGCACACGCGTACACCACCACTGCCACCACCCAAACACACACCACCTTCACTGTAGCTCAAGGGCTAGACCAGAGCATTGAAGATCTAGTAGGCTAGAGGTCTAGCACTCCTCTTCCTTCTAAATTTGCTGGCCAGCCGCATCCAACCACCGGGCCTCAATTTTGCTTATCTAGGTGCCTGGCCAGTCCCACAATTTTCAAACCAGTTGCGCCTGGAGTTTTGTGGGAGAATCCTGCCATGCACCTGATTCCAATTTTTTGCACAAATCTACCAAATTCAACAGCCGCTTCATCCCTTCATTCCCCAGAGTTATCAAAAATTCCCTCAGGACTTCTGAGGAGCATATGGGACCAGAGCTCCCAGCCTCTGCCCACCAGCATTCGCATTACTCTCTGGGATGCAGATTCCTTTCTCGTCCTTTCCCCTGTTTCTTTGATAGGTCCCTGGGGTAGGGAGATGGGTATGTGGTCCTCTTTGCCTTGTCTTCTGTGTTCATAAGGCTTTTCTCTTCCCATCCCCCTTTCTGCCTTAAGTGCTAACTTTTAAGAATATATATATTTTTTCTTTTGAGGACTAATAATTTTTTTAAAATCAAGATATGTATAAATGAAGCAATACCTGGAACATGTGCAACTATTTACAGTAAAACATGGCTTTGAAAATAATGGAAACCATCAGAACTCAAGCAGTGCAATTGCTTCTTGGGCTTTAGAGGAGACCCAGAGGACTTCTTTTTTTCTTTCCTTCTCTTTCTCCCCAGCTTCTCCTCCCAGGCACCCAATTCATTCTTTAGTTAAGATCTAATGTCTAATCAATTGTGTTCTAGGTGCTGGGGATAGAAGACAAAATGTTGCCTTCATAGAGCTTATATTATAGGAATAGACTTTATGTGTAAGATCATCTACAGAATGAGTTTTTAAAACTAATGAAGAGCATAAGGACTGAAGTGATGAATGGGGGAGGAAATCGAGAAAGAGTGGTCAGAGAACTTGAATGGCAGGAAGAGAGTAGCCACGGGACAAAGAGAGAATCTGCCTCAAAGACTGTCTCAGGAATGAACGAGGTGGATTAAGGGGAGAATAAAAAAACCCTACTGCCGTGAGTGGACTCCCACAACGGAGTAGAACTGCCCCATAGGGTTTTGAAAGCTATAAATCTTTCGGGAACGCAGACTGCCTGATTTTTCTCCCGCAAAGCAGCTGGTGAGTTCATTTTGGTTAACAGCCGAGTGCTTGAACCACTGCACCACCAGAGCTCTTTTGAGGTGGGTTGGAAGGACGTAAAGATGGGCTCAAGGCCGCACACAAGCAGATTAGAGCGGAGTCAGAAGCCAGATTTTATAGCATAAAGCGTAGATTTTTGTTCTAGCTGCGCTGGGAAGCCATTGGCGGATTTGGGGTGGAGTAGGGGAGGGAGAATAAACGATTAGAATCCCCGGTTCCCATTCTGAGGAGTCTTAGGAGGCCTCTGGCTACCCGCGAACTAGCTTGGTCTGTGCCGGGTACCAGAGTGGCCTGGGATGCGCAAAAGCCAACGCGCTGTATTCACGTCCTGGAGCCTGGCGGTGGTGCTAGTTATATACTCAAATACTTTTCTCCTGCCACCCTGTGGCCGGCGGCCTCGCTTTCCAGGTCTGCGCCTAGACCGCCAGGGAGCGCGCAAGTGGCGGACCGCGGCGGTGGGCCCCGGGCGACGCGCTGCGGGATCCCGAAGGCTCAGGGAACTGCAGCTGCTGACTGGGGCTGGAGTCAGTGCACAAACTTTTTGCGGAGGGTTGGTGGATAGGAGAGGAGGGCGACCCAATTCCCAAATCTTATCTGCCAGTGCCTGAATGTGCGATTGGGGGCTACAAGAAAGGAAAATGGGGAGGGACGCGCTTCTCTGACTGCTTGTCTAATGCCTATTTTGCTTCCAGCCAATCTTAGACGTCTGCAACACTGAGAGTTGGGCGATCTCCGTCCCTCGAAGTTTGAGCGCATCGATCTTCAATCTTCGAAGTTTGAATCCTGCCGGCTGCTCATTCGCCCACCCGTCCCCAAATTCTCTCCAGCTTGCTTAGTGCCGGCACATTTTCAAATAGTAAATTTCTTCTTTACCTGTGCCTGCTTTTCCTTTCCCAAAAAAAAAAAAAAAAAAAATCCTTATAAATTGGCATTTCTACGTTGTTATAAAAGATAAGAAGAACAACACTGTCTCGGTGCCTTTCATTGAATCGAGTTTTCACGTGTACCCAGGCCCTGAGCCAAACCAAAACCAAACCAAAAACACTGCTGTGGAGTCTGATCTGACTCATAGCGACCCCTCCTTGGGTTTCCCAGGCGGTATCACTATGGACGCAGATTGCCCCATCTCCCTTCCCAGGAGTGGCTGGTGGATTTGAACCGCCAGGCTTCTGGTTAGCGTCAAAAAATGCCTGAGGCACTACTACGCCACCAGAGCTCCTGGTCCGGTACTTCTTTTTCATGGGGCCTCGCACCCTCTGGGGTAACCAAAAAAAAAAAAAAAACGCATTGCCAATGAGTCTGGAGTGGAGTCGGATCCGGATCCGACCCATAGAAGTAAATTAACCAAACTTCCTAGGCACTTCGCCACCAGAGCGCCCACCCTCTGGGTGCTGTTGACTTAATTACAGCCATTTTGTGAAATGAAGCGCCGAGGGGTACATGACTTTCCACGGGTCAAAGGACCTGAAACTGACAGAGCCAAGCCTCGAATAAAAACGACAAGGGTCTTCCATTCATTCACTCACTTATTTATCCAATAAAGATTTATTGAACGCCTATTCGTGCCAGGCGTCTAGTAGGGGAGAGGAGACATCAACTAAGAAACACAATCACGTAGCTGTAACTGTTCCAAACCAAAACCAAACTCACTGCCATCGAGTTACTGTTCATATAATAGAATCGGAGACTTCACTGTATATCACTTAGAAAAATGTTGCAGTTATAATATGAGACGTGTTGGGTTGTAAGACACATCCTGATCTCAGGGATGATCAAATGTGAAAAGTCAGGTTTTAGAAGGACGAAATAGGATAAAAATGGGGAATGGAAATTCCCAGGAGATGGCGGTTGATCGCTTCTCGCAAGCCCAGCCTTCTAGTACTGACAAGACTCTAGCGCCCCGAAGTTGGGTATTTCGACCAAGGCACGCGACGGTGGCAGGGCCAAGCACTGGGCTGGGCCCAAAGCTCAGTAACCCACAGGCCGAGATCTGGCTCTGCAGGTTGTGGGCCTTCTCGCGAACGACCCCTAAACCAAAAGCAGCTCTGACGTTTCTCCTCCGGAGCGGTGGTGCGACCTGGTGTAGTTCCAAAAGCTCCCACGGAGGGAAGACACTCCAGTCCGCGCTGGATTGATTTGTCTTCCTGGTCCTCTGTCCCTCCCTTCTTCCTTCCTTCCTCCCACTCTTCCTTTCTTCCCTCCCTTCTTTCCTTTACTATTTTTTAGAAATAGAGGTGCAATTCACATAAAATTATTGTTGTTGGGGGCCGTCCAGTTGGTTCTGAGTCATAGCGACCCTACTGTGTACAACAGAAAGAAACCCTGCAGGGTCCTGTGCCATCATCCTCGCTATGCTTCAGCCCATTGTTGCAGCCACCAAAATAAACTATTTTAAAGTGTGCCATTCTGTGGCATTTAGTACATTCACAGTGTTATGCAACCATCACCTCTGTTTAGTTCCAAATAATTTTCAACACCCTCAAAGGAGACCTCAGAATTCATTAAGCAGTCACTCCCTATTTCTTTCTCCCAGCCTCCAGTACCCACTAATCTGCTTTCTGTCTCTATGGAATAATCTACTCTGGATATTTCATATAAATAGGATCATATAATATGTGGCCTTTTGTGGCTTCTTTCATTTAACATAACTTTTTTAGGTTCACACACTTCCTGGCATGTATGTGCTTGATTGCTTTTTATGGCTGAATAATACACCATTGTATGGATTTACCACATTTCTTGCCTATCAACTCATCCATTGCTAGATACTTGGATTCCTTATACCTTTTGGCTATTGTGAATTATGCTGCTATGAACATTTGTGTGCAAGTATTTGTCTGAATACCTGTTTTCAATTATTTTGAGGCTATCTACCTAGGAGTGGAATTGCTGAGTCATAAAATAATCCTATGTTTAACTTCCTGAGGAACCACCAATGTGTCTTCCACAGAAATATACAATGGCTCCAATTTCTCCACATCCTGCCAACATTACTTTCCACTTTTTTTTTCATTATAACCATCCTAAAAAAAAAAAAATATATCCAGTTCTCATCCAGTTGACTCTGATTCACGGTGACCTCATATATGTCGGAGTAGAACTGTGTTCCATAGCATTTTCAGAGGCTGTTTTTTTCAGTAGATTGACAGACCTTTCTTCCAAGCTACCTCTGGGTAGACTTGACCCTCCAACCTTTCTGTTAGCAGCTTAGTGAGTGCACACTAAGTGTTTGTACCACCCAGGGACTCCACTAAATACAATACTAACCCTCCTAGCAAACTCTGCAGTCCTATCCCCACTGTAGAGCTGGGCACCTAACTTGTTTGTGGTCTAATATGTGGTCTGTCCTGGAAAAGGTTTTGTATGCATTTAAGAATATGTATTCTGCTGTGTTGGGGTGAAGCATTTGGTATATGTCTATTAGGTCTATAAACCAAACCAAACTCACTGCCAGCAAGTTGATTCCAACTCATAGTAACCCCCTTTGGGTTGGGTTTCTGAGGTGGCCAATCTTTACAGAAGTAGATTGCTCACTCTTCCTTCTGCAGAGTGCCTGGTGGGTTTGAACTGCCAACCTCCTGGTTAGCAGTCAAATGCCTTAGGCACTGCACCACTAGAGCTCCTTGGTAGGCTTATAGTGTTGTTCAAGTCTTCTATTTCCTTATTAATTTGTTTAGATGTTCTATCCATTGTTGAAAGTGAGGTTTTGAAATATTCAACTATTATTGTAGATCAGTCTGTTCCTCATCAGTTCTGTCAATTTTTACTTCATGTATTTTAGATACTCTCTTGTGTGATTCATATGTATTTATAATCATTATATTTTCTTGGTGAGCTAACATTTTTATAAATATATAATGTTCTTCTTTCTCTCATGTAGCAATTTTTGACTAAAAGTCTATTTAGCCTGATATTAATACAGTCACCCAGTTCTTTGCTTGCTTGCTTGCTTTGTTTTTGAACTGAATGGACAAATGTTTCTGATGTTCCAAGTCCTTTCCTCCATCAATCCCGGCATGTATGTGACATAGGGCACTCTCAGTGGCTTTGCATGTCTTCCAGCTCTATAAGTATCCCATCCTTCAGTGTCTCCGAACTTCTCTTGCTCTGACACTCAGTATCCCTTTCAGGTACCCATCTCTCCAACTATAGAAAGTTTGCCCTTCTCCTTTTCTCTCTCCACACACACACACACACACACAAACTCCTTCACTTGCTTCAGACACTCCCCTTGTGCAGTCATCCCTCTGGCCTCAGGGAGAGCATAGTCACCTTCTTTTTGTTGCTGTGGTTCTTTAGGGTCACATGATCTCCCTTTTTGTAGATATTTGTCTAGGTTCTAAGTCTGAATATCCTGTGCATATTGGGGAAGGCTGAGGCAACTTCCTGGTGGGTTCTTGTTGCTGTTGTTAGCAGCATACTGACTAGGCCCTACTCAGGCAAACTGATGCACTACTGAATCCAGGATTCCACCCTTGCGATTCCTAGAGTATTCATTGGTTGATTGTTTCTAAAGCAGATAGCCAAGTTTTCTTCCTAGCGTGTCTTAGTCTCTCCCAGCTCTGCCGAAACTTGCTGAACATCACAGAAACTCAAAAGCGGTGGGTTGTGCACAAAATACTCTGGGATTCTTCTAGCTGGGAAGTGTGGGACAGGAAGCCAATGGGATGGAGAGACCCTGGCTGAAGATGGGGAGGGGAGAGAGAGGGGCGGGGAAGGGGAAGGAGAGTAGGAGGGGGGGGGCGTAGCGGAGATGGGAATAGAGGGAAGGGGAGGGAGGGAGGGAGGTGAGGGGAAGGGGAGTAATGGCGGGGAGAGAAGTAGGGGAGGAGTCTAGGCACAGCCTTGTCAAAAGCCTGGCAGGGCCCACCAAGGCCTCAGGGGTCCGCGTTCAGAGGCCAGCCTAGCGGGAGGGATAGGGGCTTTCCCAGACTAACGGCGAAACTTGGACTCGAAAGCAACCTATGCAAGTGCAGACTGGAAGCAAAAGAAAAGGACCGTTTAGACCTTGTGGAGGGCATGTGGCTCGGCGGAAAGGGAGCATTTCGAGCCTCCCTGGTGCGCGCGCCGGATGGGTGGCCGGGCCCACTCTCTGTGCGCGTCGGGGAGCAGCCCAGGACTCCCCTCATCTCCAAAGTTTCCAGACAGAAACTGGTGGGACTGCCCTGCGACCTCCGCCGCTGCCACGTACCCGGAATGCCTCCGAGGCGGGCCCGGCAGGAAGGAGGTGAAGGTAGAAAATTACGCCAGAGCTTCATCATCCGGTATGCTGGAAGACTCCCGGAGTCAGAAACCCAAATGCAAATGGAGCATGTATTTTGATCCAACTACTATGTAAGGAGCATTTTTAAAAAACAACCCTCTTTTTTCCTTTCAACCTGAGGCCCAAGATTGAAATCATTATATTGCTCATTTCACAGCACAGGGAATAATTAAATTTTGTTGTTGTTATGTTGTTATGTGCCGTCGAGTCGGCCCCGACTCATAGCGACCCCTCCTTGGGTTTCCGAGGCAGTATCACTACGGAAGTAGGATTGCCCAACCTTCCTTCCGAGGAGTGGCTGGTGGGTTTGAACCGCCAGCCAATTTTACACAGCTTTTTAAAAGAGGGGAGCTCTGGTAGCATAGTGGCTAAGACACTTGCCTGCTAACCAGACGGCTGGCGGTTCAAACCCACCAGCCACTCCTCAGAAGGAAGGTTGGGCAATTTACTTCTGTAGGGATACCGCCTCAGAAACCCTAGGAAGGGTCTGAGTCGCATCCCGACTCCAGGGCAGTGAATTTGGTTTGTTTTTATTATAAAGAGCCAGGAAAAAATAAAAGAAAGAAAGAGGCA